GAGATCAGTGACAGAGATTAAATTTTGACAGTCTTGAATTTGCGTTTCATAAACATCAAAACAAATCTTCTTAACGATGCAGAATTCACTCGGCTCCACAGCTTCAGGATGGATCTGTATTAGGTTTATTTACAGGTGGAGCTGCAGAAACCTATTTGCTTCTGTTACAGTCTTATTTTATATTCATGTAGCAGAATGAGTACTGTATTTCCATATTGCATTATTAGCCACTGTTAGTAGCCAATCACATTAGATATCTGAGCATCCCTGACTCACTCACCTGTTGCTCTACACATCCAGCTCTTCGGTCACCTGACTTCCCAGCTGTCACAGGTAGGACTTGCCTACATGTAGCTGCTGCCTCAGCCTGAATTGGCTGAACTTTTGTTGATTGGTGCCAATCTTGTTTTGTAAAGATCACCTGCAGATTATTTCCCTGAAGCCTTCCATCGACTGCTGACATATTTTTTACTTTGTGCCGTACGTTTATTATTTTACTTGGTGGTAAACAAGTGTCTTTGCAAATTTTGCGACGCTGTTTGTTTAGTATGTAACTTTGATTTGTTACGATCTTAGCCTTACATCCATTATTGTATTTTTGCTATAAATGCTAATTGTATGATACATTGCAGGAAGTCGTGGCCGAGCGAGCAGCTGATAACTTTATAGCGAGGCCGCTGCTGCTTCTCTGGGCTACGTTTACAGAATATTCCTCTTTGCCTTGTGTTCATTTTACTTTTGCCTTTTTCTTTGTGCTTTTTGCTTTGTTTGGCCTTCTCACTGGAAGTTGGAAGTTTTAGAATAGCAGTTGAGCCTTACATGCAATATATGGAAGCCTGTTAATGTATTGAATTATTCAGTTAGATTCAGTGAAGCTATCTGCTCTAAACTGAAGGAATAATTGTTTTTGTTTGTGCCTTTGCTTTCTGAATGTTTTGATTTGTAGATTCTCGTTTTCATTGAATTGTAAAAGTTTTGAGCTCCTAATTGTCGCACCGCCATTTTAATGTGTGAGTGTGACATCATTGGTTCTTTGCTCTTTTCCTTATTACTCTCCACCACCTCGTGCTGCCACATTAACATTCTTACTGTGCATTACAGGAAGTCTGGACCTGGGTGGGCTGCTGTTAGCTTTACGGCAGCATCCTCATCGCTCTCTGGGTTACACTATAGAAGGAGTTTGCCTTTTTGTGTAACTTTGAGTCACATCTTAAGACAAAAGTGTGTCAATCACTGGATGTCACCATGGTTTTATTAAACCAAGTCCATTTTTCTTGACAGCAAACATAATGATGGCATTTGGAGAGAAACTGTATTAGAAGTAAAACACTCAAGGGAGAAAAAGGTCTGCTTCAATCTTTTTGGGGGGAGTGGGGGTGTTTCTGCAGTGGGCTTAACTACAGAGGGTGTATTTGAGTGTTTTGGATATTTTTTTTTTAGAAGTCAGGGCCTTAGGTGGAGGTGGCTGGGTGTCTTTGATTATGGGGCCTTCTTCCACATTTCATTTTATTACTTTTATCATTAGTAGTGGTTTTATTAACCGAATGGTTCAGGTTCAGAAACCCAAGTGAAATGAAATGCTGAGCAGTTTCTCATGGCTCAGAAGAATTTCTATTCAAGAAAAACATGTTGAAATTTGTGGCAGCAAATTATAGAGACAGCCATCCTGAAATGCTACTGGCAGATTTTTGTGCAGTTTTTTTTTATTATTTATTAATTAAATTTTCTTTAATTATAATTTGCACAGGACATAAAAGTCCAGCATTTTTCACCAGCAGTAAAACACCTTTGAGGAGTTTCCTCCACCAAAGCTTTTGTTTTATGTCAAATACAGCTTTTCTCCAATGCAATCATATTTGCTGTGTCAAAAAAAATGTGAATAGTTTTAATAATATGAGTGACTCAGTGGTTAGTAAGTGCATCAAAGCAAGAAGGTCCTGCAGAGAGATAAAGAGTGACGACATTTAACTTTAAAATTGTTTCAGCAAATGAAACACAAAGCAGCGGCCTCGATCATCTACATCAACAAGACAAAACGTGTGCGGCTGTAACGTTTTCATTCCTGATGAACACAAAGTCGTTTCCAGTCTCGCTGACCCTCACACAGTCACACAGCATGTTTACTACTAACCTGCTGACTGTGCAGAGCTTTTCCTCTCACTCTGCTGCTCTGTCTGTGTTGTGTTTGTAAACTCTTTATATTGTTATAGTTTTACAGTTTTATGTTCTTTGTCTCGCTGCTGTCAACTTTAATGTTCTTGCCTGTGATTGGTCAGATGCTGCCAGCTACTGCCTCCTCCATGTAAATGTGTTTGCAGCTACACTGACATCAGTGACCAGCTTAATGTCACTTTTCATCATCATTACTGACGTCAGGTTAAGTGAAACCAGAAAACAGGAAGATGAATGAGGAAGTCTGACTTGAGTCTCAGTGCTGTTTCTGTTCTCTGTATTTTTTCAGTGTTTGGTTTTTGCTTATATGCTTTAAATAAGTGAATTTTCCTAAAATTCAGACATGATGACAGCCTAACATTCACCATCACTGCAGGCAGGAGGAGATTATTACTGCAGTCTAACTACAGTTTGTTTCATTATGGATCAAATGTTTTGAGGATTAAACTTTTGTTTCCTGAAGAGTTGATTTCCTTCAATAATCTAAAACACAGTGATGCTGATGTTCAGCATAAAAACATCACAA